TGATATACTTTAAATATTTTTCATTTAAAAATTATTAAAAGCTATTAAAGACATTTAAAAACTATTTTTGAAGCATAATAGTATTAAGATTCTTGTCATTGATGACCTGAGAAATCTGCTATTAACTGATAATCTGAGTAGTCTGGGGTAGTTTTCTTCAAAAGTAGGAGTAAAATTTTCCTTCGAGTCTGAGAACGGATTCGCGATTCGCTGTGCGCTTAGTTGTCAAATAATCCAGCGTGTTTCTTGATATCTGTGATCAATTTTCTAAAAATCTAATTTATATTTTTTCCCCCCTTTTCATGTTCCTATTTAGATATTATCTGTGGAGAAAGTTTTCGAGAGTATTCGACTTTTAGTTGATCTTTATTAAACGAGATTTTACGAGTTTTTAAATCTAAAACACTGTTTATTCTCGATCATAAAATATGAATGAAATCAAAAGACCCGATCAAAAAGGATTGAAAGATATTTCCGAACTTTAATGGACAAAAAGCCACAACATGATTATTGCTTTCTGGATCATCGAGTCGGTGTTTGTGACGATAAGCAGAAGTGACAAGAAAGTAGACTACTAGAGCCGAAAAAAAAATATATAAATAGAATAAAAGATTAACAACAGTCAAGCGAAATTTACGATTGCCTGATTTGATCCTTCAAATCAATCACGCAAACTGCATGAATATCATTGATTTACGGTTGGCACATAGAGAATTTTCAGCATGCTTTAAGGCAAATAGTAATTTCCGTTTTTCCTCGTCACTTTTCACGATGATTGTAGCAAGCTTTGAACACTACGTCCCTCAACTCTTCTTGTTCCACAATATGTTTTCTCATTCGACATCGTCTGCGCTTTATCTCCGGCTGTTCTCGAGAAATGTTCGGTCAGATGTGCTAGCAAAGCAATGCGGCAACGACGGAGTTGGTAGTGGTAGCGATGGTAGGTGAATAGAGGTGGTGGAGAATGATGGTAGTGGTGGAGGTAGTAAGGGTGGTGGTAATATCGATGAAAATGGTAGTGGTAGTAATAATGGTAGTGGTGATGGTTGTGGTGGTGGTGGTGGTTGATGATGGTAGTGGCAGCGAGACAGACAAAACGGATACAATGTTTTCGCCTTGGTCAATAGTACCAAGGGAAAGCGTCGCGTTCGCATTGCAATACATGATTATTACAGTCATCCGTAAAAACATGCGACACTACAGACTCGACATGGCACATAGCGAGAATATAGGGCGACTGTAGACACAGCTGACACAAATGGAGAATTTACGAACTCTTTGACGGAGTGTTCAAAATGAAGATGTCAGAGTCATCAAGTGTTTTATGATATCAAAAATACCAATACTAACAAGTGTATTCTGTACTATATTCACGATTATTTGAGTGTCGATACTTTATTTATTAAAATATATCGCACACATCAAGTTTGTTATAACGGCAAATTAACGAAAGCCTGTAGCTTTCTCGGTTTCCCAAAATATATGTAAAATCACATCAATTTATACTCTGCTCTAATTATCGGAGACTATTTTTTAATAATTTAAAGTATTGATATAAATATCACTAACATACATATCTACCACCCACACACTGTGCGAAATTTATCTATAAAAAATTAATTATTATTAATCAAGAGTTATAATACTAAAGATTTCTATTAAAATTTGTACATTAATATTAATAGAATTATTCAGAAATAAAATCAATTTCCATGAATGAAAATTTATAATTCGATATTTATAACATCACACTGATGTTAAATTTAAAATTAAATAAATTTTTTCAAGATCTATAAATTCAATGTGTTAATGTGTTCCAGTTCCAGTTTGGACATTTCTTGAACGCATCATATCTAGATATACGTATTATAATTTAGAACAGTTTGAGAATTTGACATTTTTAAATGTTTAGCACGGCTGAAAGATTAAACATACATAAGGTATAAAAAAAAATACAATATTAACCCTTGTAGGTCACATGTTTTTGCTCTGTTCCTGGTCACATATGTTGTCGCAGTTTTCGTTGTCTCAAAATGTTCGAAAAAATTTACAAAAATTTATATATATTCCTTGACATTTCTCCGTAGAAAATGATCATGTATAACAAAAGTTAAAAAATAAATTTTAAATATTTTATTTTATTGATTAAGGCCTTCGGGATATTTTATTGTTAAAACATCGATAGAGTCAAATTGACCCATATGTGACCTTTAAAGATTAAATGAACTGAAATATAATATAGTAAAATACAGTTTTATGTAAACCAAAATAAGAAAAATATAGTTTTAGGTTTCTAATCAACAATTATAATACATAAATATTTAGACATGTGTTCGATTCAAGAATGCTCCAACTCGAAACTAGAAATGATAAAAACTACGAATATATATTTGGATATGTATATGATATCCCATCGAGAAAATGTATACGCTCTCGCGATGTTTCTTTCCAGTTCGAAGGCGACACGACATATCAATAATTGGATCGCGATCGTCGTCGCAATCGCGACTATCGAGCGTATAGCGAGCACGCGGTCACTCGCTCCGTTCTTGCGGTGAGTCAATGTATGTATGTATATGCGTGAGCTAAAAATGATACGTTGCACGGGGAGTGACGTCATGACGAGTCAGCTCCTCGGCCGATGATCGACACGGCGTGGCGTGCGCGCGATGTAGCGACGAGTAAATACATACATACATGCGAATATTTACGTCAAACACCGATACTGAATTTACAATAGATTAGTTTGTACAGGGAGACTATTTCGTCACAAATTATCTCGTTATTAAAGTCTTGCAAACTTATATTTCATATATAAACGTAACTCCACATTGCATGTAATTTTAAATCTTAAATATTCGTTTCTTTTTATTTATACCTTTAATTATTACAAATATTATGTATATTTATACATTTTTAATTATTACAAATATTATGTACGTTATCGTTGTGTCTTCATAATTAATAATATCGTTCTGATGAAATTATGTTGTTAAACGTGACTTAAACAAGTGGCACATGCATTTCTTGTCAATAAAGGTGTACAAACAGCAGTTTATATAAACAGCAAGATGTAAAAAAATTCTAAAATCGGAAATAGTTATTGCTTTATTTTGAGCTGTCTGTTTACTACCACACTAGATATAATACATTAAAGTAAGGTTTTTTGCGAATTTTATAACTTAATAACATTTCCTATATAGTTATTAAAACTCTTTAAATTTAGAGAAATATAAACCTTTCCAAAAAATTAAATAAATATATAATTGACAATGCACTAAAATAATTTTGCGTTTTTAATGCGATGTGCTTAAATATATGAATCATATAAATCTCACGATTCTTTGGAAACCGATAAGATGGTGCATTATCACGCGGTACCTCTAACATTGACTACACGTGAAACTTTAGTAGAGATAAGTTAACGATCAAGTAATTCCGAAAGAAAGAGAGAGAGAGAGAGAGAGAGAGAGAGAGAAAGATCTTGATAATAAATTAATTATTTCAAGTTTATTTTTATAAAAAATATTCTATTCTTTATTCATTTCCTTTTTATATATCGTCTTTTTTTTGTCCGGATTTAATAATTTTACGTTTTTTGACTTAATATACTTTCTTTTGTTCTTGACAATGTGTGGATAATGTTAGCTATTTCTTAATTTCTGCTGATAAATACCAAACAAATTGCTTTATAAAAAAGATCTAATATCTAATTAAGGTTAAATTTGTATTAATATAATTGTTGATCTCTACATGATTTATTCATAGCTGATCGCTTAATCCATAAATCACATCCTTTTCTCGGGCTTTTTATAAAATTGATTTATATTGCAAAATTATTTCGTTTTATGTTTTTTAAAGAATATTAATAAAAATTAGCAAATATCGCGATTCCTTTAAAAAGTAATATCTGTTAATTTTTCGAGCAATAGTTTACATGTAAAATTTTTTTAACGAGATTAAGAAATATTTGGTACAGTCTACAAATAAAAAATTACTTTACAGAAATCACTTGAAGCTAATATTGTCATAGATATTTGATGATATATATACAATAATTTATAGAAATTAATAGTGTATTATTGTGTGTACTAGTAGCACACAAATTATTACACGTAAAATCTCCAAATATATTGCTCAATCAATGTATACATTTCTAATCGGTCATTGCATCCCAATCTTTACAAGTATTTGTACAAACAGCAAGAGGCACGAGTATATTTTAACGTAAGAGCTTTCAGCTATGTGTGTTATGTTAAAAATTAAATTCAAATCTTAAAAGAAAATATTTCTCGATTATTAAATTTTTCTCAAATTTATACACGATATACATTAAAGATTAATAATTTGTATATTATATAGACGTATATGTATATACGTATTGTACGTGAGAGTAAAAATACAAATAGGCACAAATAGACTTATACAATTTTAAATTTCCTAATTTTTATTAACAATAAACGAGAAGAGAGACTTTAACCTCGCGCGATTGTTCGATATCATTAAATGGATCGACGTTTACATACGATTAATTATAACTTTCAACGATTTCGATGATGTGTCAATATAACGACTGTGCTGTATCTTTGCCAATAATAAATTTTCAGACATCTTGTGAACGTCAACGAATTGTATCTCGCATTTGTGCGATCGGAAAGTTCTCGTCGTGCGACGCGTCCTCGCGCGAAGGTCGCGCCTTCGTGTGAGTGAATAGCAAAATGTGCGAGAGAGATACAGAAAGAAAGGAAAGGAGGTGGGAGAAAAAGGAGGAAAGATAGAGAGAGAGAAAGCTAAATCAATCTTTTCATATACATGGATAGGGAAGACTTCTCCAAAAAAACCTCCGATTAAAATTAAGATAATTGTCCGTATTTAATTAAATGCGATGTGTATTCAAATGCGGTATTTATATATACTCGTGATACTGTCTCGGTACGTTCACACAAAAGTGTATATTATATATATATTTATGCTATAGAAATTATAAAAGATATACTCACACATAACAGGAGATACGTAGCGTAGAAATCTTAGGCAGGATTTTTCCCCGGTCCTTGAAATCTCTCAGATGGCACTCATATATGCACTTACACACGTGTAACACGTCACTTTGCTCTTTTCTTTTACCGCACCACCGTACGAATTCGCAAAGGTATCGCAAGAAAAATCGCGAACGTGTAGATATCAGATCCCTGAAGAGAGAAGCAAAGTGAAAATAGTCGCGAATCTCCACAAACAACGTCTGTTTAGCCTCGCCTCTCGCGAAAGCGCGACTGATTGCTGTCTTCGTTGCACTCTTTACCATTCGTCACCGTCCGAACATATTCGTCTCTTACTCTCTCTCTCTCTCTCGCATCTTATCATCCATACACTTTCAATTCTCTCTCTCTCTCTCTCTCTTTCTTTCTCCTTCCCTTTTTTATTGTCTCTCTGCCTCTTTTACTTTCTTTTTCGTTCGAGCCTTTATCTCCTTTTCCATCTTTTTTTAGTCTCAAAAGCGCATTTCTGTCTTCGATTGTCCAAAGAGGACGGAGAACCGTGTTACGTACGATTAAGAGAGACAGACAGATAGACAAACAGAAAAGGATAGAGACAGACGGAGGGAAAGGAAGAGGAAAGGGGATCAGAAAGAGAGAGAGAGAGACGCACGTCAATTTGACAAGAAACAATGCTATAAAGAAAAGACGTTCTTCTTCGAAGAAAATGCAATGACACACGCACGTCACAGACTCCAATTCGACCGCTATGAGTACAAGCACGCGACTGCAGTGTTCATACATGCTACGGACTACGGAGTGACTCGCGACTCTGCCATCGACTTCGACGGTGACGCCGCGGCGGCGGCAGTTGGAAACTATACGCGCGAAGTTTGATCTCATCTCGGAGAAAGGGAAATTGACATTGCCGTTGCCGTTGCTTCACAACAATCGAAATAAATATTCTTATTTATCGCCGGAAAAGCATGCAATTGCCAATTTTATTCCGTCAAGATGAAAAAGTTAAAGAAAAAAGATAAAAAACCAAAAATGATAAAAAGGAATTAATAACGAAATAAATTAAATGATATAAATTGATCAAATTTCAATCTTCAATCTTTGATGCATAATTTGATATACGTTTTAGATATACGCATATAAGAGTCTCTCTCTTTAATATACGAAAGTCTATAAAAGCTATAAAATAAACATTCGATCATAATATAAATATTTCTTTAGCAGTTTGGCGCCATCCCATTACTTTAAATTTTATTTAATTCAAGCGGAGTAAGAAAAAACGAATAAACACACATAGATTTATAAATATAAATTTATAAATCTCTCTCTCACGCCTTTCTTTAGGAAGGGACAATTATTAAAAATAAAACATAATAATAAAATTAATGTCTTTATACAATTTCTTAATAATAATAATAAAATTAAAATTGTATAAATTATAAATATATAATCTAGGGTTAATAAATATTTGTCTCATTGTAACTTTTAAAAAACATTAATATTAAAAAAATAGTAATATTTCGATGCGACGAGAGATCAATTATCAGAGCTTATAGTTATCAAGCTTAAAAGTAAAAATAACTGCATAATTACGATATCAAAATTGCATGATAATAGTAAAATGTATTCACGTTTACATAGCATTGCCAATAATATAACAAAACTAACAAGATCCATTCCTTAAACACTCATTATGTTTAACAGTAAGTATACACAATGTCAGTAATGACAAAGTCATCAAAATTATATTCTTGTTAGATTATAATTCATCGCAGATGTCCATAATTAAAAGATGTCCATTTTATTACATCAAACTTTTAAATCTATCCATATGTTAGTTTTTTTCGATACTAATAAAAATCTTTTGTTGCTTAACATTGTTTTTATAGTGTGTTATCAATATAAATAAAATATAAGTAAAATAAAACGTATAAATATTCCTTATTAAAAATTGATATAAATCTTGTTTACTATATATATGATATGACTTTAAAAAATATATTAATGCAAGATTGAGAAAAAAGTTAACATGCCCTTAAAAATACATTTTGCTCGTAAATTTTCTTAACATTCATTAATTATTCGATTAAGGCACGAAAATAAAAAAGGCACTTTATCTCTCTCTCTCTCTCTCTCTCTCTCTCTCTCTCTCTTTCTCTCATTGCACTTTCTTATTTTAAATTATTTATTATAATTAATTTATATCAGTTAATGTACCTTTTGATGATGATAGAAAAACTCCAATTATATTAGAGATTATATAAATAAACTAAATATTATATAAGTAATCAGATTATATAAATAAACTTTTAATATTAAGCTTTCAAAACCGCGAGATAAAAAATTTCTTGTTTTCTCATTGCACAATTATTAAAATATCAGTTTTGCAACATTTTTTGATACATAAAAATTCGATATATACATATTCAGGGTGAGTTTTTTAACTTGAAACTGTAAAATATCTCGGAAAGTAAGCTTTATCGAAAAAAATGTTTCAAACAAAAGTTGTAGGGTTCGGAGGGGGCCACATGATAAAAATATGGATTTGACCAAGAGTGACCTTCTCAAGGTGAGGTCAATGTGATCGACGTTTTCTTAACTAGAACCCCCCTTTTTATATTACATATTCTTATAGCTTATCTCGAGAGCTTTTCAAAACACTATAATAAAGTATTTTTTCATTAAGTACTTTTTGAGTTATTTTATATCTTAATCTGACATATTTTGATATAAAAGATAAAATATCTCGTAAAATATTTAGTTCTCGATAATCTTACCGTAATACTTTTATGACAGAATAATGAGACAAATCAATTAGTATAAAAAAAAAAATTGTTTTTAAGAAAAAGTATGTAATTATTTACAATGTATTTTTTTAAACAATTATTTGTCTTTTTTATACCAATTGATTTGTCTCATTATTCTGTACACAAAAGTATTACGGTAAGATTATCGAAAACTAAATATTTTACGAGATATTTTATTTTTTATATCAAAATATGTCAGATTAAAATATAAAATAACTCAAAAAGTACTTAATGAAAAAATACTTTATTATAGTGTTTTGAAAAGCTCTCAAAGTAAACTACAAGAATATGCAATAAAAAGTAGGCAGTTCCATTTAAAAAATTGAAGGTGACCTTGCTTTTTTATGGAAAAAAAATGTTTGGTCAATTTTTATTATTGCAATTTGTTGCCGGTTAGAAACTGATAAATTTCTGTTTATGACTTTTTTATGTCAGATTATTGTAAGTGCCTTAAAAAT